TAAGCAAAGTCTGCCCTGTTATAGGGCTGTCATGCAGATCCCAAAGAGATAACAACAGGCCTCTAACCCAGCTCCCTGCTCAAAACAGGTATAACCTCAGGATGTGATGACATAGACATGAGATGACATGACATGAGATGACTGGTATAACCTCAGGATGAGATGACATCTCTCAGGACTTCACCTGTGTGAGTGTCAAATAGCTCCAAGGATGGAAGATCCACAGCTTTCCTCTGCCCCTGTGCCAGGATTTAACCCCTTTCACTGGGACCTTATTCTTTTGCATCTAATTCACATCCAGCTGGAAGCTCTGCCCATTGCCTCCTGCTGGGAAAGGTCTGTATCCAGCTCTCCTAGAAGCCCCTCTCTCCTTCTCTCCCCAGGCCTTGGGCAGCAGCAGCCCCCCCTCTCCCAGCATAGCCACCATCCCTGCACAGTGGCAGTTTGTCCCATTCCTCTTGGCTACTTCTGCTGTGAAATAGCAGAACAAGTTTCCCCTAGTGAAAGGCGCTGGCTGCAGCTCCAGTTCAAACGTGAACACGCCAGATGAGCCACCATCGGAGGCTCCAGGGATGAGCCGTGTGCTGGAAGGGAGCAGCTTTGATTAAGGGGATTATGCTGGAAATCAGCACCAGACAAAGCACTGAAATGTTGACATGAGCTATAGCAATGAGGAACGGCAGTGATTAATAAGCTGCAGTACTGTAACTAATCAGTGTTTGCAAGCACTTTGGACCTGGAAAGCATCTGCTGAGAACCATTCACTGCGAACATTTCCTACATGATGTTGACAATTCATATTGATATCTTCACAACAGGGAAAGGGGGAACAACTCCTTTGGTGGAAAGGATGTTTTAATGAGGTTTTCTTCATGCAGGCACACCACGCACTTGTCATGGGCTACAGGGTGTTTCCCACCCTTGTCCTATGGATCTGTGGCTCTGTGCACACTGGGGTTTTGGCTCCTGCCATGCCTTTAGCCCTCAGTGTGCCCTCAGGACACCCAGTCCTGCATGGTATCACAGGTTTGGGTGCAGGCAGGATAGCTAGATAGATAGATGGACAGACAGACATAGAGAGAGAGACAGAGAGATAGAGAGATAGACGGACAGATAGACAGATGGACAGATAGACAGATGGATAGACAGAGATGGAGAGAGAGATAGATAGATAGATAGATAGATAGATAGATAGATAGAGACAGACAGACAGACAGACAGACAGACAGACAGACAGATAGATAGGTGTTTGGCCCACAGGAACCTCCATGTACATCAGATGGAGCCAGAATTTCTGTTACATCTCTTCCAGCTCCATCATTTCCCTCCCATCCCGTTCTTCAGCCAGCAGATGATTTCCCTGGGTTATCACAGATCAGAGCCCGCTACCAAATTTTCCTTCATGCCAAGTTGAGCTGGAACTCAATTTTCCAGAGCAAAACACACCATTTCATTACTAGATAAGCCAACAAGCAAAAAGCCTTTTGCATGTGGGAAACGTCCATCCTTCTTAGAAGGAGTGATGGGAAAAGAGATCTCGGACTGATGCCCTCATCTTGCCACCGCCAGCACAGACATCCCACCTCCTTCCCCAGACGCTCTGTCCTGAGACAACAGGTGAAAAGCAAGTTCATGGAGAATTTTCCCTTCCTCCAGTTTCCCTTCTCCCCCCACCGCCTCTCCCGCCTGCCTTTTATAGCGTAACACATGTCAGGGTTCATGTGACAGAAAGAATTCCCAATGTCAGGCAAATAATTTTTCCATCTGTGGGGTTTTTTTCCCCTCCCCATTTTATACTTTTCTAACGGAAGTGGCATCTGCGAGGTGCTGCCTGTAACCGATACATCCAGGAGTTGCACAGTCCATTACCAGCAGCCCGGCGTGCCATTTTTGGCCGCTCCAGCTGTTGTTATGGAGAGGGAATGCCTCCGTCCAGCAGACAGCTGCAGGCTCAAGGAGAAAATGAAAGTTGTTTTTTAGCTCTTCAGCAGTTGTCTTGCCCTTCCCAGCACATCCTGATGGGGTTTTCTAGTAACAGGCTAAGGTTAGAAATGATGAAGAATGCGCACAAGTGTTTTCTCGACATGGGTCAGGTCTTGCTTTTCCTCCTGTTTGTTTTCAGAGTGCTTTATCCTGCAAAGGTGGTTGTGTTGGAGCCTGATTTACCTGGTTGGGAATCACTCGGGGATCACTCTGAGCTGCTCTGGGTTGTAATAGCTCACATCAGACGCTGAAGGAGTGTGATGAGAAGTGGAAGTGAGCGCTGCGGGATGAAAGTCCTCCAGGTCCAGCGTTTGAAATGTTTCTGTCAAACCAGCTGTAAACAGCAAGAATTAAGGAAGAGGTGTTGTTTCCCTGGAACACCATTAGAGGTGGATTTCACTGGACAGCCTCTGCCTTTCCTGTTGTCTTGGGAAGTTGTCAGGATGCACGAGGAAGCTGTGGCTGCCCCATCCCTGGCAGTGTTTAAAGCCAGCTTGGATGGGGCTTGGAGCAACCTGCTCTAGTGGAAGATGTCCCTGCCTGTGGCAGGGGTTGGAACTGAATGAGCTTTAAGGTCGTTTCCAACATGAGCCAGCACTCACTGAAGGAAGGAAAGGCTTTGTCAGGCCTCGAGCAACATGTGTGTGCTATTAAAGGCATGTTAATGAAGACAAATCTTTAGGTATGTACTGAAACCCTACCTGCACAGTACAACAGCAGCAGCAGCAGCCCTGGTCTGACAACCCGTCTGCTCACAGTGCTGTAATGTGACCAGATCTTAATCTAGCTGGCTGTGATGCTCATGGCTCTGCATCAGAGACATCAGGATCCCAACCCTGAGCCCTAAGTGGGAGCTGTGAGGCGACAGCATCCTGCATCCCCCTGCATTGCAATCACAGCTCTGCACTTGATGTGGGCACCCATGGGTGCCACCCCAGTTACACAACCCCAAGCCTTGACAGCGGGTCCTTCGCCTTGAGAGGAGGGCCTGATTTCTCATTAAATGCCTTGTGGAGGTGGAAATGCTCTTTCCATTGCTGTCCTGCCCACGTTCCTCCTGTGAGATCCCACACATGTGGCAATCAAAGCTAGGAAGCCAGCCTGACTTTCCAAGCATTTCTCATTGCACTGGGGAGACGTGGCAGGGGGAGAGTACCAGGGGATTTACAGCTGCTGCCTGTGCCCTCCTCTGCATCGCTCTAAGGTGTCCAGGGGCTTGCACCTATGATGGGAATCACAGTGTCGGTTACCCATATACTGCTTTCAAACCTGCAACGTAAATGCATGTGAAATATTTCTCCTCAGCAGAGTATCATAAGGCAAAACTCGAGAATATTTGTTTATCTTTCCAATAAAAGCATCCCGGGAAGGATAATTTCCTACATGCTAAAATAGAGACTGTTTCACAGTGAAAAAATGGAAGGAAATGTTGCTCATCCATTCCTCTTTAAGTGCTGTGCCATTTGCAAGCATCCTTCTTTTATTAAGTGCCACAAGAGACCTTGTTTTTCAATGCTACATGAAAGCGAGGTACTTTATTAGGTAAATATAATGAAATAACCATGTGTTGTTTCTCACTTCATGGTGAATGGTTCTACTTCCTGACGGTATTGATTCCAGATCGGGAAACGCTGCTTTATCCCAGGACCACTTCCCTTTCACACAATCTGTTAAACTCAGCCTAAGAGCTGTGCAAAATTTCCTTTCCCATCAAGTTGCCCTGTCTTTTTCTTTCAGTACAATGCTTGTGGAGTCAGAAGGGATTGCTCAAACTCCAAGAAACATTCCAGAGCTATGTCTTTTCTCTTCCTATTTCCTTTTTCTGTGCCCTACCGTCTGCACACCCCTGAAAAGAGATATTGCAGCTTAAATTGTGGGAAACAAATGACAAAGTGCATTTGGTGGCAACTTGAGTCAAAATTTGCAAGGTGCTGGTGCTAACCATGCATCACCCAGTAGTAAAAGATGGAAACCATAAAAACCTTAGAGTGTAGAGTGCTTGCAAAGGGCTTTTCTTGCAGGAAGTAATAAGAAGCTGTGGCTCAGTGAATAACCTGGATCAGCAGAAGAGATGAGATTTCCACTATAGAGACTGTTTGAATTCATTACCTGGAATTACCACGTCCCTGCCACATTTAACGAGCTACATTATTTTGGGGATATGTTCTATCGAGATCACATTCACAACTTCCCATGGAAACCATGTTGATCATGTTGCCGATGGAAATGAAGCTGAGTATTAAAGCTTTTGTCACATCTATTGAAAACGTGGATTTCAGATGATGTGGGATTTTATTTTCCTTCAGATAAGCATCCACAAAGCCAAATGTTCATACAGATTTGCACAAATCCGATGAAGCCATCAGGAAGGAAATCTTGTCATGGTGAAGTCAGGTGCCTTCCCTAGGGAATCTCAGTGCTTCATGTCTTCTGATAAGGAAACCCTTCTAAGTTCTTTTCTATTTTCTGAGACACTCTGACCACAGAAGCACTAGTTTTGGGTGGCTCTGCAAGAACTCACGCTCCATTTTCCATTGGGAAAACCAGGGTGCGCCCAATACTTCCAAACTTTCCAAATCCAGACAAGCCTGGGCTCAGAAAGTCTTTCAGCACCTGCCTACAGCAGAGAATTGATGGACTGAAGGAAGGACTCATCCCTTTCTGACCCCTGGTGCACAGTGATGCTTTGCAGAGCTAGGTGCAGGCAACTTCCCAGTTAGGATAAGAGCTTGTCACAGCCGCCTGCTGTGATCTGACATCTCAGATCTCCATGCCTGCCTTGGTATTGTGTGGGGAGCCCCAGAGCCAGCTCCAGGTGAAGTCAATGATGATTTAGGATACAAAAAGAGGTGGAAAAGCAGCTGCTGCCTCTTTGTCCTGGATAGCACAGCCCCAGGCTGCATGGCTGCCTCTGCAACTGAAGGTAAGGTCAGGGTGTGGAAGGAGGTGGCTGCTTTGGGAGACAGGGGGACAAAACAGCCCCAAAGCCTGTTGCCTACTTCATCTCTCGCAGTTTCTATCTGGCCAGAAGCAGCAAGCTCATTTGTATGGGTTGCTCATCCCAATTGACCACCTCCTGCAGTGCTTCTGGATCTTCCTCCTGACCTCCAGGATTAGTTGGCAAGCTCCAGGCATGGGAGCAAGACTGAGATGAGCCAAATTCAGACTGGGAAAGGTCAGAGGACCCTGGGTTTACTGCACAGAATATCTTTCATACCTTGCATGCCTTTAGGGTTTTCCTTCAGCTCTTGGTTTTGTTGCCAGGCACAAGACCCGCCACCCCTGCCTCTCCGTGGAGTGGGTCTCCATCAGAGCTGGTGGGTGATCCCGTTCATGTTGGGCACCCCTCAGCTTTTCTTGGCAGCTCCTGCTCACGCGAGCAACCAAACACGCTCTCATCCATACCCTGTGCTGCATGACATAATCCTATATCAGTTACTGCTTATTTCCTCCTTGTTGTCCCTTCTAGCCTCATTCAGACACATACAAATTCTTCGCCTCCTACATCAAATGTGTTGCAACCCACTTCCTCCAGACACTGACTGGGGAAAACTTGGCACCAGGAGCTCACTGCATATAAGAGGGTTTTTGCTGTTGTTTTAAGCTGTTGATTTATTTCGGGCTCCACATCATCTCAGCATCACCAAACATCTGATGATTTTATTTCAATTGCCTGGTTATGCATGGCCCGCCTGCTTTTCCACTCACCCAAACCTCCTTCAGTTATGAAAAAAATGAAATGCTGGATGTTTATTTTATCTCTTTTCCCTAGAGAAGGAGTTTAATAATTTAGCAGCAGATATGAAACTGCTCTATGAGGAGTAATTTGTTTTAGGGGGGGGGAAATATGAGATGCTTTTTTCTCTCTCTCTCCCAGATCCCCATATATAAAGGTATGGTTTGCTTTGGATCATATTCACTCTCTGAAGACTTGGTTTTGCTATTAAAATCTTTATTTCATACAGATTATTCTACCATTCCTTTGTCTCTCTGCTATTAGTCTGCTTTTGGTATGCAGCTGTCACCATGGCTTTTACTAACCTGCTTTCTATTGGTTCCCAGAAATGGTTTATATCCCCTTAGAACAAGCCAATAAAGGATCTCAGGTGCTTTTTAATGCAGCTCATCAAGAGGTGCATGGAAAGGAAGGGCAGGAAGTGACAGATTCTTTGTCACAACTTATTTACGAACCCTGCATTTTGAGTTTATTGCTTGCTTGGTCTCTTCAAGAGCTGTTTTCCCTTATGAAACAGCACCTTTATGCTTGTAGGGATGGTTAAGTCCATTGTCACCAAGTGGAGGATAACTGTGCCCACGTGCATCTTGAAAATGAGCCCTCTGGTCCCTTCCATAATGGTTGCGAGAGTGGAGCTCAATAAACTGCGTTTCTAGACTGGGGACAGTCAAAGACCCTTTTGCGTATTTCCCAGAAATTTTAGAGATTTAACGGCCTCTGAAAACACCAAGATCTTCCAAAGATCTATTCTCAGAAGCCCTGGAAGAGCTCGGTATCTTGCTAGCCTTGGCGTCTCTGTCAAAGGGGGCTGAAGTTGCCTGAGTTACTGGTTGACGGGTGCATTCAGGCAGCCACACAGGGCTCCTTTCACCAACCACGTAGAAAGAACCCGATTCCTTTGTGTCCATCCTCTGCCTTCCCCCAGGTTCACGATCCCCAAATCCTGAGGACACCCCATGAGCTGCTTGCATCCTCCTGATGGGGAAAGCGGGATTAAATAAGCAGTAGGTTCTATAACTGCTAACTCCTTTCAGTATCGCTTGTGGCAAAACTATTTCACATTCTGACCAAATGGAAATTCTTCTTTCTAACAGAGGGTTGGAAGTTTCGGGTTTTTTTTTTTTACTTCTTTGCTTTCTTTAATAGCTCTTGTGGCTTCCCCCCCTCAGACATTTTTAATGTGCGGCACATCATAATATGAAGCTAAGGACACTGTTCTGATAATTCCTTGAGCAGCCCTAGCGAAACACTATCCAGATGTGTTGCTGGTTTTCTGCAGGGGGAATGTATTGTGGAAAAGAAAAAAAGGAGGAAAAAAAAAGGGCAATTTTCCCTTCTGCTTGGCCTTAGGTTTAAATGAAGTGAGGTAGGCCACCATTTTGGGGCCAGAAGATGAAAACCAGCACACTTCCAATAACCTAATGAGGACTGATCCAGAAGAGTTCATTTGAGGAAGAAAAAGTGGGAGAGAGAAAGAGAAGGGGGGGAAAAAGAACCCCCATCCAGCCTTAAGAATCAGAAGCAGAAATATGAGCCTTGTTCCTTGTAAGCTTGGATAATCTAAGTCAAAACCCACATGAATCGATTCAAGCTGAGTCCAGGCTGCTGTTCTGTACACACACACACACTGCATTTGCTCTCTTTTATAACATTTTAGTGGCTGCTGCTTTGTTGGGAACTGTTGGGAAACACATTTGCTCTGTTCCCACTCATGAGGAGGGCTGAAAATGTTTTGATTTTATAATAATTGGACTTTCACACCCTGAGCGTTTTCAAAGCACTGCACGAGCATTATCTAATAATCCTCAAGGCAGCTCAGTGAGGTAGGTAAAAGTCAGCATCATTATCCTCATCTTACAAACCGGGGCGAAAACAAGACAGGGGTGATATATGCCTTGCCCAAGGCCACACAACACGTCGATGGCAGAGATGGGATTAGTGTTAAGGAGCTGCTGGCTCACGGCCCGGGATCAGGGCTCTGTCCACTGGCCAGGGCTTCCCTCGGGATGGAAGTGTGTTTGTGCATGAGCATGGGAGGGAAGGGAGGGCAAGATGTGCAGGAACTATGCACTGTAATGAGTAGCGCAGGAGGTCCTTTTTCTCCAAAAGGATGGGCTCAGAGCTCAATGATAGTTCCAATGTCCTGTCTTGCAGGCAGAGCTGATGCTGAGGTTCAGCTGGAGGCAATGAGCTTTTCCAAGGCAGGGGTTTGTTGGTTGGGTCCTTTCTGACCGACCTCTTTCAGACAAAAATGAGTTGAACTCAGAAAGGGAGCGAGCAGCAGGTCTCTGCTAACGGGGCTCCTCCGGACAGAGATGGATGAGGGAGCGCTGACCCCGGCAGCCCTGCTGGCAGGGGAGCAGTGACAAGCAGCTGGTAGTTGCAACTACCTCCCCCGAAACAGCTGGATGTGAGGGAGGACATCTGGATGCAGTCTGGGTGGTTTGTGAGAAACCACGTCCACTGAGTCACCGAAGAGCAAGCCTTCAGGATGCAGAACACAAGGCGCCCTGCGCTTGCTAGAGGGGGCTTGCTGCAGGAAGGTTGTGGAGATGGACTGGGGTCTCCCACGGCACAGAGGTGGGAGGAATAACTGCATTAGGGGGTTATGCACTCCGAACCCTGCCCCGGTGTTCAGGGAATACAGCGGATCAGAGCTGCATGTGAACCACCACAGTCCTGTAAATACAGAGACTCCGCATCCTATGAACTCACTAAGGCCAAAGAGCCAAACAGTGATGTAGCAGGTGGAAGAGAACTATTCAGTCTCTCCAAACCATCCCTGTGGCTGCCAGTCCCAGTCTGGCTAAAGCACTGTAGGCTTCTGAAGCTCCAAAAAGGCTTTTTTTCCCATGTAGAGATGGGTCTGCCTAACCCACGATCCCACTACCAGCTGCGGTTGTGCCTGGGTGGTGGGACCCTCCAGCAAAGCACACGAGGACCCAGCTTCAGTTTCTCAGCCCCTCTCCCTGGCTTGAAGCAGCAGGTAAAGGTGAAGCTCCACACAAGGTATCCAGACTGTCTCTGGTTTCAAGATCACAGTTGCTTATTGAACACCTATGCCAAACAGTGCTGCATTTAGCCAATTCACAGTCATTCCTGTTGAGCTTTCCCTGCTCCAGAGCTACTTCCTGACTTCCCAGAGCAATATCACAACTCGGCACTGGTGAAAAACCTCCCGTAACATCAGACACCAGAAAACCCAATTAGTGCAGATACTTCATCAGGAAGGAAAATTAGGCCAGAGCTTGCACCTTCTTAGACATCAAAGCCTCAGAAGAGCAAGAAATCAGCATAGAAAACCAAGTTTTACTAGTTCTGGTGCTCAGGGTTGTTTCTTGCCACGATCACAGGAAATACCCTTGCGGTGTCCTTCTCCACACTAGCAGGAGCACTGGTTACAGGATTAAGTCCAGCTCTGTTTCCTCCAAAATTCTGCTGTCTGTAAAGCAGTTACATGGTTTGCAGTGAATTGCTGTGATTGCTCTGTGAGAAAGCGAATATTCCCTGGTTTGAGGCACCTCTTGCCTTCAGTCCCAGGTGACTAAGCTTTTGCCAGCCTGTTTCCGGACCTGAGAGGTACATCTGTATTTCTGAAGCCAGCCACAGGACCAGATCCACCACCCTTTCCAAAACTGGCATCAGAGCCCACCCTTAGGACAGGCACTTATTAACTACAAGTGCATGTAAAGGCTGTGCTGGCTGGATACCCACCACCGAAGTGTCAGGACCTGTGGCCTCTGCACTGTGCAGCTCCCTGGAGTTGGACTCCCTTCTCCTGACTTTGGCTGGAAGTTCATCTCAGTTCATAACAGTTGTGCTTTACCTTTGTTCTGTTTCCCTACGCATAAGCCCGTGGCCTAGAGGGAGAAATGCTGCTTGAATGTGCAGAAAACCTGGGCTAGATTCCCGTTCTCTTGCTCCTTCAACTACTTGAAAAGGAAAAGGAGTGGGGTTTTCCAGCCACATGCATGTCACATTCGTGCACCGCGTTCATGCAGCATCGTGGGGAACTTGCTCTCCAAGCCTCATTACCTTTTGTCTCCAGTTCCAGAAACAGAGCAGACGGTTGCCAGACCGTGGTATGCAACGCTTACGCCTTGAAAAATCTTTAAAGCATTTAAACTTCGCACAGACGTTTTAAGCAACCCCAGCTGCCAATTCCACATGAGACAATCCTGAGATAAATGGATGTTTGTAATCACCCAGGTGCTGGCAAAGGAAAGAACCACCATTCAAGCAAGCAGCTTATTAAATCTACCGGTGTGCCCTGGGTGATTGCGCTGCAGGGTTCACGCATGTCCGTCCATACAGCACCACTTCGACTGTGCTCAACACTGCAATTAGCTTGATTTATATTAAACATTGTTACCACTCCTTTTCCCTATGTTCCTGTCTTTGGGAAGCCTGGAGAGTTTTGACAGGAGTAAAGCATAAATAATAGGAGCAGAAAATGGTCCAGCGACAGGGGATCTGGGCTGTGCTCCTGGTGATGCTACAGACCTCATTAGGGACAGCAGGTAGGCTAAGAAATGGTTTGACTGGAGAAAACCCCCAGCAGATGCCTATGGGGGTGCTCCTGGCCCCTGCAGAGCAGAGGGATGGACCCTCTCTGGTTGCCCTCCTGGCAGCAGAGCACTTGGAACAAGACTTCAAGCAGGTAGAAATCACCTGGCATGGGGATTTCATGGCAAACCCATCTCTGGGGAGAAAAGTTTGCTGTGTGGGGTGAATCTTTCTGAAGTGGGATTTGCTGCTGGGCAAAGGGCCAGCCCTGAACTGCCAGAGCCCTTGGGGCTCACTTAACCCCCGCCTGGCACCCCCAGAGCCAAACCCACGCTGCTGCCCGGCTTTGATACAGCCTCGTGCCCCTCAAACAGCACATGAGGGCATCAAACAAAAGCCCCCGAGCCTGCAGCGTTCAGCCCAGCCCACCTCTGCCTGTGCTACTGGCACCAGAGCCCGTAGCACGTTCCATCCTCACTGGGCAAGCCTTTTGCCAATGGCAAGGGCAGGTTTTGGGACACAGCATCACCCTGCCCTTGCTGAGCATCCCGCAATGTCCACTCACCGGTGCTGCTGACAGCAGGATGATTTGGTGGGGTATCTGCAGAAACCACGTGCACCAGGGGCAGCAGGGCAAAGTGAACACAGTGGGAAGAGCTTAAGGAAAGGCTGGTGGGAAGTGGGACTGCCACTGTCACCCAGCTGCAGCTGTGACCTCACTT